CAGAAGGCAAAGAGGAACTATTCACGTGTTTCGGTCCCTGGGGACATGGTCACAATCAGCAGACAGTAATTCTCACGTTCAGTAGCACCGAGGAACTCCTGCTGCTGGGATGAGAGGTGTGAGCGCAGGAGCGGCTCACCCAGGGACCCAGAGTCTAAGCCATCTCTGCCGGCCACATCGTCTTCAGTTGAAAAAGAGTATACATGTCCACAACTCATCTGTTTCTCTTTATGGATGTTGCCACTTTCACCTTCGAGACATGTCAATGAGGTACTGCTATTGGCCTTACCTTTTAGTAGGAAAAATGAGGCTACTGGTTCATTTCATGCAATCAGTGTGGATTCATGCAGTCACCTTCTCAAGGTGATTTCAAAGTCGTTCACAGGTGGGGTCCTCCCACGGATCTCCTAGCTGTTCACTGTTTAGTTAGTTGGAGCCCTGTTCACTTACATGTGTCCCAGCCTTTCCCCCCACCCAACTCTCTAATTTTGTTTGTTTTGTTCTCCATGTGCAGGAAGTCAGTGAGCTAGGATTAGAACATGGCTCTATGTACAATCCACGCCTCCTTCCTTTGTCCTTGTTCTACGGCCTGCCCTTGACCTTCCCCTCTGGCCTGTTCAGTCACAGGAAGGAAGCCTGAAGGGAGAGGCAGCTGTTTTCATAGACTAAAAATGCCTCCCACAAAAGTATACCCAAGGGCTGTGCTTATTTCCAAGACCAGTTCTGACAGCTAAGAAGGCTGGCGCCCAACTGGCACCCTCCAATACCTTTGTCCTGTCACCTCCTGCCACATCAAGCCTTTGGCACAGTATTGGCTACTTAGCTTCTGCCAGGCCTGCACCAATTCTGCCCAACCCATAGCGGGAGGTGTCCAACATGTTCGGGGTTGATAGATTGGTGCGGGGCCATAATTTTCCGGCTTTTTTTTTTTTTTTCATGGAGGCAGGATTTAGAGAAGCACCTCCATCCTTCCTCTTGCCTCCTCTGACTGCCTCCTCGGACGTCTGAGGAACAAGCTGTCTGTCCACCTACAGACCCGCTCACCGCCCAGGAAGAAGCATTCTGTGCCCACTGCCCCTCATGTCCTCTCTGCTTTTAGAGAGCGCTAATCTTGGGACAGCAAGTCTGTACAGCTTGGTCTGAAGCTCCCCGACCGCACCCACATACCAGGGCAGTGCCAGCTCAGGCACTTACCTGTGGTTTCCACACAGTGAGCAGGGCTGGCCATTGGGCACTAAAGGCCACCTGGCGGAATAAGCCTTTCGAAGCAGTGGCTGCAAACCCGTTGGCAGGAGAATTTGTTCCCTGGCCCTTGGGGGAGGACGAGTGCAGCTGGGGGGCGTGGAGCCCAGGACTTCTCTAGAAGCAGATCACGGGAATTAAAAAAAAAAAGTCAACGCCCAAACAATTCTTCAGTCAACGGATTGACAAAACACACAATTTCTATGAGGTTCTAAGCTCCAGGCTCAGAAAAATCAAAACCCATGGCAATGGGTGGCCAGTATGCCTAGATGAGGCAGGATAGAGAAGATGCTAGGGCCTCTTCTCAACCCTCACTGATGCACTATGTAGGTGTTAGGACAGCAGTTCTCCCTTCTAATATCTCTACTTAACTATTTGTAGAATGGGGTAAATACTATTTTTTTTTTTTTTAAAGATCTTATCTATTTATTTGAAACAGAGAGAATGAGAGACAGAGAGCATGAGAGGGAGGAGGGTCAGAGGGAGAAGCAGACTCCCTGCCGAGCAGGGAGCCCGATGCGCGACTCGATCCTGGGACTCCAGGATCATGACCCGAGCCGAAGGCAGTCGCCCAACCAACTGAGCCACCCAGGCGCCCCTATTTTGTTTTTTTTTTTTTTTTAAGATTTTATTTATTTACTTGACAGAGAGAGAGACAGACACAGCGAGAGAGAGAGAGAGAGAGAGAGAGAGAGAGAGAGAGAGAGAGAGGAGAGGGAACACAAGCAGGGGGAGTGGGAGAAGCAGGCTTCCCGCTTAGGAGGGAGCCCGATGCGGGGCTCGATCCCAGGACCCTGGGATCATGACCTGAGCCGAAGGCAGACGCTTAACGACTGAGCCGCCCAGGCGCCCCTAAATACTATTTTTAAAAAAGATTTTGAAATAGGTTTTAAGGATTGCTTGGCTGGTGGAGCTGCTGCTTTTACTACAGGCTATAGGAAATAATCAACATAAGTTTTACTCAGCAGACTTGACTCCCTAAAGAAAATTATAGCCTGGAGAAACAAAAAAAAAGAACAAAATGACTAAGGCACAGGAAGATGGCACAAAGGTCACAGGTGTGTAGCATCCATCCACCCAATAATAATCCCACTGGGGCGGTACACGTGGGCTTCCAAGGGGCCTCAACCACATGGCAAATGAAGACAAGGAGCAGCATAGGGCTGACCTAAGCTCGCTGCTGGTCCAGAGCTAAAGAACTGTAACTGCAGTGTTGCTCCAATTTCTGGGAAACTGGTTAGGAGAGACCCTTAACAATGCCTCCTGACCTAACCTAAAAATTGCATCGTCCTCCTCCTTCCCCTCATCTTTCTCAGCAATACAGAAAACAGCCCCGTTTGTCAGCCACTTAACCCACAGCCCAAAGCAAGCCCATCTTGCTCCTTAGCCAGTCATGGGAGGACGCACAGAGAATCCCAGGAGCTGGGCTGCCCCTCGGGTCCCAAAGAGCTGGAAGTAAAGACCAAAAATAACGTCGGGCGTTGGGTACATGGTGATGCTATTAGCTAGTCTGTAGCTCAGGTTAGCCTGTTTTCCTGACGTCGTCATTCAAAATTGCACGCCGCGAGAGAGCACGGTCAGGGAGGCTGCTGTTAATGTTGCCCGTACGAGATCCGATCCTTGCTGGCCAAGCCGCCGCCTAGATTTCTCACCACGATTCATTCCATGGCATTTGTACAGTGAGCAAATGAGAGAGGGGGTCTTTCATCTCTGTTCAGTCCTTCCACTGGCCGAGCCCATTAACCATCATCCACAGCCACTTAAATCTCGAAGCCCCTTGACTCTCTGAACTGAATTCAGACTAACTCTTGGGCTCCACCTTTTTTGTTTGTTTCCTAACAGTACATTGAAACTATTTTGTTAGCTTTAAAAAAGGCCAGCTTCAAAGGTCATCTTTTAAATCTATTACTTTTAAGCCAACAGCTTTTGGGAATCAGAATGTCAGGTCTTAAAAGTGACCTCAGAGACGATCTAAGCCAGCGGTTCCGAACTTGGGGGTTAAAACCCTTGGAGGGTTCACGGAGAGCCTTTGGGGACCCGTGGACCTCTAGAACACACTCAATTTTGTATGCATGTGCACTATTTTTCTTAAATGGGGGGAACCACAGCTTTCATTAGAGTCTTTAAAAAGGACCCCGAGGGCGCCGACTTGCTTTAGAGATGAGAAAACCGGGCTTCTCACAAGTACAATGGTGAGACGGCTGGAATCAGACATGGGTTGCCTGGCTTTGACCTCTTCGCACTATACAATATTGATCTTAAATATCGCACAGACTTTCACTTAAACCCAGTAACACATGGGCTTGTGGCAGTCCTTCTGAAATCCCACTAATTTGATGATCAAGAAACAAGTATGAACCAGCAAGGACGGAGGGAACAAGCATCACGGCAGCAGGTGAGAGCTGTCAAGGGAATCTGAGGGTGACAGCCATGTGGTGAATGCGGAGCAGAAAAAGCTGAAACCCAAGCCCCCAGAGAAGCAAGCCGCGCCGACAAGGCTCGGGAGCCAGTGTGGGGTTGAGAGCAGGACTGTGGAAGGCTCCGTGAAATCTGCCCTTCTCCCCTGTCCTCTCCAACACCAGTTCCCCTCTGCAAAGCCTGAACCGGAGAAACCCTGGACTTAGGAGTATCAGGCACGGCCAAGGAAAGAACAGGGGCGCTGCTACAAAGAAGGGCTAAATTTGAGTCCATATCCTGAACAATGGAACTCCCAGACCCTTTCCTCACTCAGTTCAGCCTCCGGGATCCAACAGCCAGGCTTGTCCCTCTGTGCTCGACTGTCTATGGTCAGTCAACTCGCCACCAACACCGGCCCATGTAAGACTGGGAAGCACGTTTCCCAGAACCCCTCTCCCTGCATGGTTCCAGGCTCCAGTGTGCAGTAACAGGAAGGTGCAGAAGATTTGGGAGGCGGAAAGGGCAGGAACCATTATTCCGGTGTTGGATGGGGCAGGGTCATGGACGTCTCCCCACCAGCTCCCACTCTGCGACCCCCCTTTGGTGGCTCGAGGTGGCAGCTTCTTGGACTCTTCCTGAGGCTGCCGGCTTTCCTCACCCCAATGCTGCAAGCTCAAGTCTTTGGTGACAATTTCACTAGTTGTCTAGCTGCAGCCTTCAAGACCCTCAGTCCCCCAGCACCCCCCGCATCGTGGAAGCCATCATAACCATGTGAAACCCTTTATTTTTGTAAACTTTAGAGAGACTCTGTTTGAGCCTGATACAACCTCCAGCAAGAGACTAAAGGATGATTCATCTCTGCAGGAACTAGACCAGACCAAGGGAGGAAAAAACCCCCAAACTTATAAATGATATTGGGAATCCTCAATGAAACAGCTCAATCTCCACTCAATCACCCTGTATTAGCTTTCTACTGCCACAATGACAAATTACTACAAACCGAGCGGCTTAGAACAACACAGTTTTACTGTCTTACCGTTCTGAAGGCCAGAAGTCGGATACAGGTCTTCCTGGGGTAAAACCTGGGTCTGCAGGGCCGCGTTCCCTTCTGGAAGCTCTAGGGGAGATTGCTTCCTTGCTTTCTGCAGCTTCTAAAGGCCGACTGCGCTCCTTGGCCAGCAACGTTGCATCTCTCTGACCTTCCATAGTCACGTCTCCCTCTGACCACAGCTGGGAAAGGTACTCTGCTTTTAAGGACTCGTGTGACTAGATTGATACTACCTGGGTAAGGCACGCTTCTCTCCCGGTCTCGGGATCCTTAACCGGAAACACCTGTGCAGAACCCTTTTTGCCATCTAAAGCATGTTTCCACAGGTTCTGGGGATTGAGACGAGGGCATCTCTGGGAGGTCCTTATTTTGCCTACCCCACATCCTAAAATGAGGTCCAGGAGTTGGTAAGTCCTGACAAGGTAGACAGAGTTTCCAACAGTTTTAAGGCCCAGTCCGTAAGTATAAATGGATAGTCTAGAATCTACAGACATTTGAGCAAACTTCTAACATGAAAGACAAAACTAAAACCAGGCACACAAAGAACCTAGAAGAAACAGATAATGTCATGACCAGAAACCTTCAAAAAGGAAAAAAAAAAAAAAGGATTTAACATCCTTAGAAACATTTCTGAGCCCTCAAAACAAAACAAAATGCTAAGAAACACCTTTCAGATGTTAAATATATATTAGCAGAAATCAGAATTCAGTGTTAAATTTTGGAAATAGCAGGGGGAATTTTCCCAGAAAGTAGGACAAGATCAAAACAATGAAAAACTGGAAAGGAAACAAATGGGAAAAATCACAGCATTATTCCGGGAGGGCCAATGTATGAAAAATAAGAGTTCTAGAAAGAGAAGAGTGAGGAAAGAGAATTATCTAAGAAATAACAGAGGGATATTTTCTAGAATTAAAGACATAAGCCTCCAGAATGAAAGGGACATTAAGCTCTTGGCCAAATAAATGAAGACGCCCTCTATCCTGGCACGTAATTGTGACATTTAAACTCAAGGAATAAACAGACTGGTCTAAAACTTCTGGAGAAAAAGAGCCAAAAATCTGCGTTTTCTCAGACTTTTCAACAGCACTGGGAGTCAGAAATGGACATTATAGTTCTGTAGTAAAGAACTGGTATTAAGTAAGTACATGGAAAATTAAGCAAATTAAAAAAAAGGAAATTACTAATTGCATAATTTAAAAAGTTTTAAAAGGAAATGTCAAACTGTATCGCTACATGGTCAACAGGACTGATAGAACTACCAACACTAATTCTTGACTTAACCAAAAATCATGCTGTAACTAAGTCGTTAAAGTGGACAGAGTAGGATGCAGAGGAGTGGTGGTGTTAAGAGCCAAATCCTCATTTCCATAGTAGGAGAGTAAAATAAAGTCAAAACCAAGAAATAGCAGTAAGAACACTTTGCATGGAGGAAACAAAAGAAACCGATAAATGGGCTGAGAGGGGCTGCTTTGAGGGAGGGCAGAGGACAGCCCTTCATTATTGTAGGACTCGGTGCCGCTGACTCGTTGGTCTATGCACATAGGACAGTGACAGAAATAAAAACATAAATGTAAAGAACAACCCAAATGCCCATCAAACAGATGTGTGGATGAACAAATTGTGGTCCACCCACATAACGGGATAGGATTCAGCCTTAAAAAGGAATGAAGTGCGGACGCATGCTACAACATGGATGAACCTTGACAACATTATGCCAAGTGAGACTCCAATCACGAAAAGCCACATATTGTGTGATTCCATTGTATGAATGTCTAGAATAGGCAAATGCACAGAAAGCAGATGAGTGGGTGCCAGGAGCGAGGAGGAGGGGAGAATGAGGAGGTGTTTACTTCATGGCTATGGGGCTTCTTTTGGGGGTGATGGAAATGTTCTGGAATTAGTTGTGATGGTGGCACAAGGTCATGAATGTCCTAAAAGCCACTGAATTATACACTTTAAAATGGTTGAAATGTGAATTTTATGTTATGTGAATTTTACCTCAATAATAAAGAAACATAAGGAACACAGTATAATGGATTCTATCTAGCATACAAATTCTATTTCATTTTTGCCTAAATGAGAATTGTTTACAAAGTCTCTACATGTTTATACATTCTTTGGTTTTAGTAAACACAGGACAATGAATCAAACTGAAGCCTTTGATGATTTATGGTTTTCACAGTACCTGCGATTCAGTCATCATTTTGAATAAGTCAAGATTATGTATTTCAGACACAATAGGCAGAAATGAATTATGTACTAACCTCAAATGTAGTATTAGAAATATTTATGCGTGCAGTTCTTCAGTAAACCTAACAGCTTGCTTTCTTGTAATCTGACACTTTCATTTCAAAGTTGAGAAATGCAGAAAATTTAATGAATTCAGAGTTCTGGGAAGTAGTATGTTGTAATGAGGTTACATTGTGTTTTGCTCCCTTTTTCCCAATTATATTTCATTTCTCTCTCCTTTGGCACCCTCTCCTTCTGCAACCTTTTCTACTGTTTTTCTCAGTAGTCAATTATTGAAAATCAGTGAGTCTTTCTGGCAATGGAGAAGAGCTGGACCCCTTAAATCAAGCCTAGAAGCAAACCTCGGCTACTAAGATTTGGGGTCTCATGTGTGCATTAATTTCCAGAGTTCAAATCTGTTTATTTATTTATTTTTTTATGACTTATTTGGGTTCTTTGGTAGGTCACCAAGGAGATTAATTTTAAAGTCCTGTCTTGCTTAACGGCTTTTTAGGATCTACACAAAGCTTAGCTGAAGTCATCTGATTTTCTCATTATATACCCTGTTAAAAAATTCAACCAGGAGATTATATGTAGAAGTAGGATGTCCTTTCTCTTTCAAACAACATCACTCACTTTTTCCTGAAAGCTTTATTTTTATGATTTGTTAAGGACTACCTGGAAATGCTGCAAAATAATGCAGCTTAATGTTTAAGCAATCAGGGAATAGTAATTTTTATTACCCTTTTACAGTTTTATTTACAAAATGTTTACAAAGATTAAGCATTTGTAGTACATGATTAATTCGTTGTAAAATTCTGGTAATACAAACTGATACTAAAGGAAAACCCAAGAAGACTAAGTGACTTGGCCAGGATCACACTGCATAGGAATCAAGAGAAAAGGAAATCAGTTCTCTTAGATGGATAGTTTTCATTTACATACTTATAAGAAAATTAAGTCATTACATATTATATAAAAATTAATTTGTACCAACATGATAATGCAAAATAACCACTGGCAAATCTCATATTTGATATTCTTATTAAATGAAAATCCAAGTTTTAGTTTATTAAAAAAGCATTATTGCTTTTTAGTAAGGTAGACGACATTTAGAAGTATTTCTGACTTGTTAGGGTCTTACCATTTTTTATTTGTAGCCACTCCCACCTCCCCCCCAGTGATTTCACATAATAGACTTTAAAAAAAAGATTTTTATTTATTTATTTATTTAGAAAGTGCATACATGCGAGCAGGGGGAGGGGCAGAGGGAGACGGAGAGGGAGAATCTCAAGCACACTCCCCACTGAGCATGGAGCCCGACACGGCGCTCAATCTCACAACTCTGAGACCATGACCCGAGCAGAAACCAAGAGTCAGATGCTTAACCAACTGAGCCACCCAGCTGCTCCTAGACATTTTTCATTAAGTTAATATAATGGTTATTTTTCTTAGTAATTATAAACAAGACCCCTAATTAAAGATCTTGCTAATATTCCTTTATTATCTGTGAGTAGATCTCCCAGATTTTAGCAAACGTATACGCATTTCTTCTCTCTACACACAAGCACACACATGCACAGTTATGAGGCACGGTATCTACTAGGCTATTAAAATATGATACCAATCCTGGAATAGAAAAAGGACATCAGTGGAAAAACTAGTGAGATGTGAAAAAGTCTGAAATTCAGTCACCAGTAAAGTGCCAATGTTGGTTTCTTAGTATTGACAAATGTACCATGGTTACATAAGATATTAATAATAGAGGAAACTGGATGAGGGACAGAAGACAACTCTATTACCTGTGCAACTTTTCTGTAAATCTAAAGTGATTCTCCAACAACATGTTTATCTAAAAACAAATTAGGTACAATAAGCAGGAAGTTTGAGCCTAGATAGGAGTACTACCAGCCATAACAGTCATCTATTGCTGCATTAAGAAGTAACCCCAGAATGTAGTGGTTAAAAGTAATAAGCATGTATTATGTAACAATTTCTGTGGGTCCTCTAGTTCAGGGTCTCTCAGGGCTGCAGTCAAGGTGTTGGCTAGAGCTGCAGTCATCCCCACCCTTGTCGAGAGAGGATTCATTTCCAAGCTCATGTGGCTCTAGGCAGGCCTCGGGTCATCATGAGCTGCTGCCTGAAGACATCCGTTCCTTTCTACCTGGGTCTCTCCACTGGGCAGTTCCTGACATGGCAGGGGACTTTCCTTAGAGAAAGACAGAGAGAGAGCATGAGCTAACACAAAAGCACGACAGGATCAGCCCATTTGTAACCTAATCTTGGAAGTGACGCCTCACCTTAGCCATATTCCATCCAAGAGAAGTCGGTCACTTGGTCCAGCCCAGGCTCCACGGGAGGGTGTGAACACCAGCACGTGGGGTTCAGTGGGGGCCATCACCCAGATGAGCACCCCCATCATTACATCAACCACTATGAAAAGAACAGTACTCATTAAGATCACAGGCACAGGAATCAGAGAGATCTGGGTTCATACACCTGCCTGAAAACTTGATAGTTACATGATCGGGGACAAGTTACTTTGTTCTTTGTGGTTTGTTTTCTCATCTGCAAAATGGGAATGATGATAATTATAATACCTACTTCCCATAAATAAATATACCTACCTTTACTCTATTTTGAAAGAGTAAATTAGATAATTCATGTAAAATGCTCAGCAAGTGACTGGCACAAAATAAGAGCTCGGTGTTGGCCGCCATCATCATCGTGATTGTTTATTATCCGATTTAGAATGCAAATCTAATGTCGACAAGCTGTGAAACCCTAGGCAAGTGACTTAACTTTTCTGTGCTTCTACTTCCTCATCTAGGACTTGGGGAAAATACTATCCACCTGGCAACTGCTGGGCAGTTGGCACGTAGTAAGCTGTAAATTATTATTTTTAATGGATGCAGTCTGCTCAGCAAACATTCACTGCCTGTTAGAGTTAGGGCACATCTGTTTTCGTGGCTTTGCTGTTCTCTAAAACAGAGACAAACATCCTTCCATAATAACTATTCTCCCCAAGGCTAACTCATTAAATATATCAACTCCTAATACTTATGCACAGAAGAAAAAAAACACATGGCTAATCCATAATGGAACGTACATCAAAATCATATATAAAAGTTTTAGAAAAAGATACATGCCCTTTGAAGCAGATTTATTGTCCTCTACTTAAATTTAGGTCATCCCTGAGAGTAGTTTTCATTCCCCGTGTATTTGGCAAATGAAAATGGGAGAGAAACCCTGAATTGGCTGAACAGAGGAAGCACAGCCCAGAAGGAACATTTGCTACAGAAGATCCTGCATGCGTATGTGAGTATGAACTGAACGTACAGAGTGTGAATTAGCTCCCGCCCCTCGCAAATGCGAGGATCTCAGAGGCGGGCAGAGAAGACGGGGAAGTGAGTTAAGTGATCACAGGACCACATGGAGCGCACCATCAGGTTCTAAAGAACAGAGAAGAAAGCCTCTGCCAGTGCTCTAAGCCTCAAAGTGCAAGACCAAGTGAAGGCCTCACAGACATGCACACACGAGCCAGGGGTTAAAGAATTAGCTGGAGCGCCCAGGCGGAGGAGGAGGAGGAGGAGGAGGAGGAGGAGGAGGAGGGGAGGGCCGGGCAGAGCAAACAGGGTATGCACAAGCTTGGAAATGCGGAGGTACCTGGAGGGGCAGCAGCATTAAGGGGCTGGGTGAACTCAGGAAACAGGCTGGGAGACGAGTGCGAATCATGAAGGACGGAGAAGGAACAAGGTCACACGCGTGCTTCAGAAAGATAATCGGCGTTAACACAAAAACGGGACTGAAGGTGGGAGGTGGGACAAGAAAGCCACCGAGCTGGCTCAAGGGTGGATTATACAGAGTGGAGGAAGAACGGCCACAGGACTTGGTGAGGTGGGTGTCCCGGGGCGGCGGGGGCAAGGGAGCGAGAACCGTCCTACAAGTCTGCGGGGTCCAGCCTTAACCGTGGGGTAGAGCAGGGGAGTGGGGGGGGGTGGGGTAGGGAAGAGAATGGGCACGGCTTTGGTATATTAAATTGAGCCAGGTTTAGAATAGCTGGTAGAACTATCTAGGAGCCGCTGACAAAATGGCAGTGAAGAGTTCTGGAAAACTATCTGTACCTAGAGCTCCAGTTCAGGGGAAATTAGTACCTTGCGGGTGTTCCTGGAACCAGGGGAGTGAGCAAGATCAGTCAGGGAGAACAGAGCCAGGGAGGAAAGCACCTGAGAGGGCTTGGGGGAAATAGTAACCACAGGACAGCAAAATCAGAAGCGACATGACCTCATTTGATGTGGGCGGCAGAAAGTTTTGGCTGCCAATTCCAAGTGTTTTCCTAAAGAAGAAGGTCAACAGGAGGAAGGGGGTGTGAGAAGGGTAGGGAAGGCAGAGAGGCCTGGGCCTTGCTGAGCAGCGTAGAGATCACTTGTTAGGCCAGCTAGCTTCTCCAGGAAGGCGAGAGAATGGGGGTACAAGGCCTGGCATTCCACCAGGGGCCCCCGCCCGGGTGTCTGGGATGCCGTGGGGAGACACAGGGTGGCAACAGCAGGCTGACCTTTGGGCTAGATCAGTACCTGTGGGCCCAAGTGGCATGGATGACCCCTAGGAGCTCATTCTGAAGCCTGTTCTCCCCACCTTGCTTGGTTCTGGAAAACCAGTGCTGTTTTTGAGGACCTCACCGCTTCCCTTCCATGCTGAGAAGGTATAATTTAGGGAAAGAGTTCAAATATAACCCCTGGCTTGCTTTACCTTGTTCTCTGACGGAACTGAGCCGTATTAACGTAGTTCTGTCCTAGACACAGAAACCTAGTTACCTGTACCAGTTTTCTTCATGTGCCTTGTTAGACTGAACTTCTAGCCGGCTTGAGCCTGGCACTGCCTTTTATGAAAGTTGACCTGGTTAACCACGGAATGAGCTCACTGCCAGGCAGGAGAGGGTTCGCAGATGAGGTCACGACACACGTGTCCCACCAGGAACAGAATTTACTCCCTGGCTGCTCCTTTCAAATGACCCGAGGCAGTCTTTGATTTTATCCATTTTTTTCTAGGTATCTAGCATCGAAACAAAAAATCCTCAGAAATTCCGTGGAGTTTTCTCTAAAATCAAACTACTGGCCACCTGCTAACAGTTAATCAGTTATCAGCGTTATAACGCACGCAATTCAGGGCAGAGAGAGTCAAGGTAAAAACTAAAGCACTGCTTCGGTATTTCTGCTCCGTATTTCCATTTTCTCGGTTCTTATTCGTGGCCCCAAAGGTCACCAACATATTTTCTCTCCTTTCGTCAGCTGCACGGTGCTCTTCCCCAATCATTATAACCGATTTCAGATGGTGCTAGAAAATTATATTGACTCTGAACACCAAAAGAAATCAGTCATCCTCTAAGGGGTCACAGGACGACGTGAGGGTCGGGAGGGACCCAGGAGTGATAAATCCACCGTACGTTTGGCCCTTTAACCCTCACACGATGAGTCTGGCCTGCAGAAGGATTATCACACAAAACAAAGTTCTAATAACAAAGACATCCCATCCCTATAACGAGCTTGTTAAATGTGACACCACGGCTGGCAGGGTTAAGGAGCGCGTCAGCTGCACCAGGCCGACTCTGTGGCCGTCTGCGCTTTGCTTTCAGATACTCTGGGGCCGTCCCATTCATTCCTTTCACCCACTAGTACTGACGCTGGTCTCCCCCAAGAACACTGATTTCAAATGGTGCTAGACAATCACTATTTAAATCTAAACCACCATATGAAACCAGCTTCCTGGAGAAGCTTTATCATCTATTTTTTCTTCAGAATGCTCTCTTATAATAGGCTCAAGACAACCTAGAAAGGAAAAAGTTGAAACGTGGCTGTGGCCATTTCACTTCTGTGGTCTGAAAAGAGCTTTCGCGAACCACGTATGCATACACTGTTATCACCAAATCTGGGGGGGGGGGGCACGCCTGTGACTCTTTCTGCTCGGCTCCGTTTTGTCACCCAGAGGCAGTGGCACACGTCAACCCCTTTACTCCTGATGGGAAGTCAAGAGTGAGCCTTTACTTGGGTGAAGAAGCAGAGGCCCTCCTGGTGTCAAAGTATCCAGCGGCAGGATCTCGAGGACGTGGTGCTGATGATGAACCTGACCATGCACATAGAAAGCGCGCACAATAAGAGGGTGCTCTGGGAGAAACTGGAGAAAACACTTTCCTAAACCTTACTTTCTCTTTGGGATAGTTTTGTTTGATTCAAAAGCTTATTCTAATTTTAGGGTCCAAGGAGGACAACGGACTAGCTCAGAGGCAAAGTCACAGTCAATGGTCCTAAGGTTTTTTGCCAGAATGGGATTCCTTCAATCACACCTATGAGTTAAAGATTTTTGTTAGCTTTACTTAAGATTCTCCTCCCCTACAACCCAAAAGTCAGGCTTTTACCTCTCAATTTTCCTTGGCAGATTATTTTTTGCTGGTTTTCTCCTTCCCACTATGGTTCCCGGTATCCTTTTATTAGGAAGACTGTTGTCATCCCCTTAGTGTTCTAAGAATCCAAGAAGATACTTCATGCATCCAGGCCATGGGCCACCTAACAGGATAGACATTCTTTTTTTTTTTTAAACTGTTATGAAAAGTTTCAGACATACATTACATCAGAATGACAATAAAATGCCTTCCTAAATTCATCAACTGCTGTTCGTTTTTGCCATTTTTGCTTTAGCTATGCGACGTGTATGTAAGAAATGTGTATATTTCTTTGCCGGATTGTTTGAAGTAAGTTGACAACCATCCCAACACTCTGCTCCTAACTTGTTGAGCAGGTCTAAAAACACGAGGTCATTCTTCTACATAATTATAATACCTTTACCATACCTAAGAAAATGAACAATTCTTAGTATCCTTTAGTACCCAGGCCATATGCAACTTTTCCCATCAGCCCAGATCCCATCGGGGTTCACTCACTCAGACTCTTTTTAACCTAAAATGCTCCCCATACCTTTCCTTGGTTTTATCATGACAGCATCGCCTTGTGAAGATGGGCTCTAATCCTGGTGGCACCATTCGCCCAGTCTGTTTTCTTGGCTTAAATGAATTCACCAACCTTCAAGCTTCTCCTTTTGACTTTCCTCATGCACCATCCTCATTTGTCATCTGTGATGAGTATGGGAAGAGCAGCCAGTTACGATGTGCCTGTGGTTGTTGGTTTCAAGTGGGTTCAGCAGGTGCCAGGTCGGGAGGGGCAGGGGGCCTGGCTTAGGTCTGACGAACATTCTTACCCCTTACCGGTGGGGCCAGTTACCTCTTCCTAAGGAGATCCCAACACAAATTCCTCCTTCTTTAGGGAAAAGCATCCACTGAACAGGATGCTCAGGCTGCTCCTGTTCCTGGGCTGGTTTTCTCATCCTCAGTAAGTAAGGGAATGACACCATGGGCTTACAAGGATGTGGAGCAATCACCACAGCAAAGATGCAACAGCTCACTGACTGTGAAGGAATGCATCTACTCTGCGAAGTGACAGTCACCTGTTTCAACCTGTTTCAACCAGTCAATTCAAGCATTGAAACTTAAAAAAGTCCCAAGACAAAGGGCGCCTGGGTGGCTCAGTTGGTTAAGCGACTGCCTTCAGCTCAGGTCATGATTCCAGGGTCCTGGGATCGAGTCCCGCATTGGGCTTCCTGCTCCTCAGGGAGCCTGCTTCTCCCTCTCCCACTCCCCCTGCTTGTGTCCCCTCTCTCGTTGTGTCTCTCTGTGTCACATAAATAAATAAAATCTTTAAAAAAAAAAAAAAAGTCCCAAGACAGAAGAATCCCTGCAACCCTTCAATAACTATTTCATGAATTTTGTGACTCATTTAGGGATCCACCGCATCCCTCTGTGTGTGCTATTATAATTCATAAGATCAGTACCGAAGAATGCAAGGTGCAGCCAGATTATGCTCATCATTTCAAAAAATCCAAAATCCAAACAGAAAGGTCTGATTATTATTATTATTATTTTTTTTTACAAATGACTAGTCACAACTTTTGCCTACTACCAGTTAGAAGTGTTTTTCAAGTGACTTGACACTTCAGTTATGGGGACAATTTTCCCTAAAGCATGAATTTCTTCCTTTTACTTATGTCTGATAAGATCATACATATCTCTCACCTCAAATGCACGTCACACCCATATATACATGTATGTACTCCACACACAACCATTGGGTTTGGCTCCCTTAGCAGAAACAGATATGGTAGGTTTTCTGCATTCTGCCTTACGCCTGCTTTTCAAAACACGCAGCAGAAGAGCAAAGGTGGATATGCTCTCTTGCCTCTAGCTTTGTCTCTTCCTGTGAGCGGTCCGACAAGGCGTTTTCAGCAGACACAACTTAGTAAGCACAGCCTTTGAGCATACTTCTCTGCAGTTTTTAAGCCCTTGGGGAGAAACTGAGGTACCGAGTTGGTGACTCTAAAATGACTGAGAACACGCTGAAAGAGAGGTCTTGAGTTCAGGCCTCTGTTTTCACATCCTCTTCTAAAGCACGAGGCCAGTTTCTTGAAAATAAGTCTACGTGAGGAGACTGGCGACCCAAATAACTCGGGGGAAAAGTCACACTGTTTGCTCGTAGGAGATGAAAATGAGTAAGTTGATAAATCAATAGGGGCTCCTTCATTCTCTTTCCAGTACGTGCACGGGGAAAACAGGGTGACAGCGACCAGCTCCTTAACTTGGGTGAAGAAGTATCTGCTTACTTTGTTGAGTCTTTCAGCGACATTCAGTGACTAGGAAGGACGGTCGTCTGTGAACACGGGCAGGCTTCTGTTCCTCCGTGTCCTCCAATCTCCAACAATCAACCTGATTGTTCTGTATTTTTAGGCCAGGATGCGGGGAGGGCTGAATTTCTGTAACTCGGGGTGTTTCTATTTTAACCATTTAACCAAAGGTGCAGGACCTTAAAATGGTCCTGCACCTTTTGAAAGAAGTGTTATTTTTTGGCCAGTTCTTTGTCACACACAGAACACACCCCTAGAATTGTTCAACCCTCCATCTCTAGCATTAACATAATCACCTTTCAAGAACAAAAATCCTTCCTTGGCATCTCTTGGCCCACAGGCCCTGAGAATGGGTCTCCATTTCAAAACCCAGTCTGTACCAGCATACTTCATGCTGTTTTTGAGCAAGCTTGCCCCTTTGTATTTTTCCTTCCAGATCTGATAGGAAAGTTGGAGCCTGGAACGTGAATCCATAAACCACACCGTGAGCTCCTGTGTGGCAAAAACGGAACCGAGCAAGCACATTGTTTTCACTCCAGTGGAATGCCAGTCCGTTCTTGCATGAGCAAGCTGGATTAAGAGAACCTCCCCGGAGGCTCGAGGATTGCACAAGAAGACTGAATCTGCCTAGGACACTTCTTTAAGACTGCGGCTTTAAAAGGTTGCGGACATCAGGACACGGCAGTCCTAACTTGAGTACTTAGGCCAGACTGGAAAGGCATAGCTGGGGTGTTCAGTTCCAAGTCATTCTCTTGTTGACTTGCACACCTTTAAAGAATGCTTTCTTGCAAGAAGCAGACGAATGAGTGGTGCAGGCAGGATCTGGGGCTGTGGTTCTGGGCTGAAGTCCTGGCGGTGCTGTTTATGAACGATGGGGTCTTGGGCAATCCTTGAATTTTTCTGAGCCTTGGTATCCTGAGCTAGAGAATGGAGCTACACTTTCGTATGCTAGAGTGGTTGTGAGAGTCATGGGGAATTCAGTACATGGAAACAGTCGATGATTTTTAAAGCACTACACACATATTTCTCATTTTATTAGATGGGTCAGAACTCCGGAGTGCCTTTCCAGGGTAAAGGCCAGAATAACCTCAGGTAGATGGGAAGGCATTCTGAGAAATGATAGCTTCCATTTTTGGAACGCCTCCCTCCTCTGTGCCAGGCACCGTGCTTCGTGCTTTCTGTGCATTTTCTCAACATTAGCAACCACCGAACGAGGCTGATGGTATCTCCCTTTTCCAGGTGAGGGAACAGAGATTTAAAGAGGGCACGTGACTTGCTCTTGGTCACAAAGCTTCTGAATGGCAAATCCAAATCCAGATTTGCCCGATTCCAAGCCCATTCTTTCCTGCTCAGTGCTTTACAGACGCTGTCCCGGCTCGTCTTCCACGGCCGCCTGGACCTCTGAGCACACACTGGCTCCAAGTTCCAGGGTTTCATCAAGGAGCACATGAGCAAATCAGTCAAACCAGCGCTGGTCCCGATTAGCAGAAGCAGCACCAAACAGCCCACCAACAGGGAGGAGAACACTTGGAAACGCGAAGGACCTGCCTAGCACTGAAGGGCCGGGGGCTGGGACCTGCGGCCACATTCCTGATTTGCAGTGTGGCCTGGAGCAAGTCACACATTCTCGGAAGCTTTGTTTTCTCATTTAGCTCAAGGAAGCTCAAGTTAGAGCACGTTGGGCGAGTCCAACAGATCTTGCATGCGATTGTGACAGGGCTAAAATACGGTCTCCAAAATTCAGCCCAGCCGTTTCTCCTTCTGCCAGGCAGTGGGGTGGGAGGGGCTGTGCAGTACCTCTCGATGGGGTGTCAAGCTCTGCAACTAGCTAGCTCCCTGCACCACCTTGGGTGAGTTACTCTGACCCTGGGCCTCAGTCCTCCTCACCTGTCGAATCAGGGTAACGGCAGTACCTGCTGCACAAAGTTGTGAGATCTAAGATACAGAAGGAAAAGCAACTTGAGTTAGAAAACGCACACAGTCAATATTCATTTACTGAATATTGACTGTGTGCGTTTTCTAACTCTATGATGCCAGAAATAAGAAATCACTCTTCCTTTGGCACATAGTGAGCAGAGATGTGTCTAAGAGATCTGTCACAGTTTGTAATGACAGGGCTCACAGATCCGGCTTGCATCCGTTTTGCTGTACGTGGATGCATTCCGGAGTAGCTAGCTACAGAGGTGTTTGGAGAATATTCAAATCTGAAAAGAAGCCCTGGGATGTCCAGAATGGCATCTCCAGCTGAATTAACTGAAATGAGTATTTTTAATATTTTCTAACTTCTTTTCCTATTCCCATTCTCAGACCCGAATATGGGATCAATACCCTTGCTCTTAAGCAGAAGTTCATATTATAGACTTTTTCCAACAGTAAATCGGGAACTGAGTGTTTAAGAGACAAAGGTATAGAGATCAAATGCTGATGACCACTTAAAACGATTTTACTGGGGAACCATCCGGGAACAAAATAAAACAGAACGCCCTTAAGGTTGATTTATGAGCACAAGCCTCTACTTACACAGAGATGTAACCGCAATCTGTTGACAGATATTTTCCAGACACAGAAATCCTCAGGAGGCATTCATTCGTTCACGAGATCGGCACCTGGAATTTAGATGACAGTGTGTACGCTTAGGAAATATCCCAGAGCAACAGAGGAAGTAAAAGTCCGTTGCTTTCTCTTATTGCTCCCACCAATGTTCTAAAGAGATGAATTTAAAAAAATGAGAAATAAACAGCACCTTCTCTTTCCTGCTTAAGACACAGAGATTGGGGAAGTTCCTGTGCCGTGAGGGGCCTCAGGCTGGTGTTCTCTCTGTCCCGGGGTGGCCGCTGCTATGGAAACCGTCTGCCGGCACGAAGCCATGCATTTTGCAGAGGTTTGCTCAGCGAGATGTCATACAAAATAATATATGGTATAAGCCTCTAATTCCAATCACAGGAGAAGCCATAAAGGCACCCTGCCCAGCGGACTTTCTATTTTACAAGTTGACTCCGCATCCTCACGATGCACAGCACAGTCTCCAGAGGGCCAGCAGAGGGCAGCACTAGCCTGGAGGTACCACCCCACGGCTTCAGAGGCCGCTGGAGGGCAATTTAGAACTGAAACCGCAAGACTTTCTCCCCTCCGTGGTCTGACTTTAAAGCTGGAATGCACCTTTCACCACATCACAGGAGAGGAAGCCCATCTGAGGTCTTCGCTTCTGAAAGCCAATCGTCCAAGGGCACTTTAGTCTTCTGACATGGGACCTGCCACAGCACAGGGTGGGGGGGCGGGGGGTGCCTTTGTCAGAGCTCCAAGGAGGGATCCTCACGCGGGCCTTATATCCCACAAGCTCACACTGCACCCTGCGAGAGGCACGGTGACTCAGCAGTGTGATGAAGAGAAGTCTCGTCAAGTTACCACCTATTGCAATGTCTAAGTTAATGATTACACCTCCACAGAGGAGCTTAAACACAGCTGGGGCCACCGAGCGGGCCGCGCTGATCAGCGGATGGGGTGACGGCCTAGGTCCAGGCATCGGAGCCGAAGGGGGGAATGAAACCCACTGTGGTTCACGGGTGTGCTCTTTAAGCCGAGTGTTCCCGCACGTGTTCTCTAAGTGACTGCCCGTGCATACCTGAAGATGCCGTCAAAATGGGGACCTATTATGTGGGAGCATTCTTGAGGGCTGGGACTGAAATTCACGGAGGTCTTGACAAGAGAAATGGTCGAGAGAAACTGTAGTCATATTCAATACTGTCTTGCAACAGAAAAATGAATCTAAAAAAATTCAACTGGAGAAGTACAAATGAGAAGGAAGATCTGTCAGGGTAAACCTAAAGCTCAAACCAATGTGGACTATTAGATCACACACGACTCTGAAATATTTAAATACTGCTGTAAAATAATAGCATGTTTCTACAACTGTCCGATGACAAAAATGAGGACAGGGCCCAAAATCAGAGGGGCGCTTTCCCTTTTCCAACAGTAACAGAGATGCAGGCCAGACTGTGAGGAATGCCAGGCTGCTGGTTTTCTGGAACTTCTCAGTACTTGAAAAAGCATTTGGAATAGTTCGTTCGAGCTGCTGAGAAGTCCTGCTTTAACTGACCTTGTCCTATAAATGCAGATGATAAGGCCTGATTCTGAGCATGCTGCTCCCACCCCTGCCAGGCCTCCTCTGTGAGCATTGCACCTGCGGCCTCCTCAGGTTCAGATGTCTGTGCATTATTTACAGATGGGAAGACCAGAGCACAGAAAGGTTTGGTAAAGAACACTGTAGGAGTTAGCGGTAAGGCTTCTCAACTATGAGGATAGCAGTTTGATAAATGCATTTTCAGCGTCCCTCTAGCACCTCTGCCTCCCCTCCCCTTATGAGCACTGGCAATCTGTGCCTTTCACAGTGGTTCTTGGTGGTTCTAATCTAGTGCAGGGCTGAGGCCTGTACCAAACCTAGCCCCTTATCCCCCCAGGGGAGAGCGGCTGCCAACGAGCACGCTTACCACTGGGATTCCTGCAGCTGTCTTGAAAGGGAGTCAAAGGTCAACCTGCCTTCTCAACAGGACAGCCTTGGTCCCAGAGGGCCCCCAAAGGAGTCATCCCCCTAAACCTGTAAGGTCTTAGAAGCAGACCTCTATCAATCCCTGCTTAGAATCAACCTACCCCAATAAACATCTTTTCCTTATCTTTGCCTTTCCTCACCAGCCCCTGCTTGTCTGAGTTAATGACACTGAGTTAATACACGCTATTTATTATTTATTATTTTTTAATTTTTAAAATTTAAATTCAATTAATTGACATAATGTATTATTGATTTCAGAGGTAGAGGTCACTGATTCATCAGTCTTTTTTATTTTTTTTTTAAGAGTTTATTTATTTATTTGACAGAGAGAGACACAGTGAGAGAGGGAACACAAGCAGAGGGAGTGGGAGAGGGAGAAGCAGGTTCCCGCTGAGCAGGGAGCCCGGTGTGGGGCTCGATCCCAGGACCCTGCGATCATGACCTGAGCCGAAGGCAGACCCTTAATGACTGAGCCACCCAGGAGCCCCGATTCATCAGTCTTATATAACACCCAGTGCTCGTTACATCATGTACCCAGTTACCCCATCCCCCCACTCCCCTCCAGCTGCCTTTTTAATGTCAAATGCAATGAAGTGACTGCCCATTTAATGGCACATTTAAACTGGAAATAGAGGCAAGCAGCATAAGGTTGGGGACCAAGAAAGACCTGGATTCAAATTCTCCCTCAGTCACCTGTTACACATCTTGGACAAGCAATTTACCCCTTTCTGAGCTTTGGTTTCTTCATATTTGAAGTGTAAATCGTAACGTTAATTCTCAGAGTTGTGAAAATATAACTGACTCAAATAAAACACAAGGTACGTAGATCTTCAATAAATGTTAACCCTGCTCCCACCTTCCCCTGGGAGGGGATAGCACATCTAACATTTTGGATACAACTTCCAAAGGTAGATACAAACAGTGTGTTACATGTGGTGTGGAAGACTAACCTAACATTGGACATCAGTACACAGAGGCTGTGGGTCCGGGGACTTCTCTCAGGGGAAAGGATAACATAAGCCAAGGATGTCCCAACAGGCATTCCAGAGTCTAGTAAAAGACATACAATCTGAAACTGAGATGAGGATATTCCAATATTTCCATCTGCCTATTCCTGCACCACCGATTCGTGGAGTTGACGATGTACCAGGAGCTGTATGAGACTCAGAGGGTATGAGTGCAAACAAGACAGATGAGTCTGGCGTAAGTAAACACATAAATAGATGAGGATAGAGCAGAACAGGACTCCAAAGGAAAATGTCGTGCTCCAGGGCAAACACAGGAGGCTCCAGTATGGGAGTGGGGAGTCACACTGGGCCAGGCACATCCTTCACAGAGGGTCTAGCCAACAGCAGTGTGGCAGAGCTGCGAGTCCCTGCTCAACACTACTGATAAAAACAGATCTGTTAAAAATCAATCGACTGGCATTCCCTGATGGCCTCCTAAGAGCCCAAGCGCTGTGCTAGATACTGCTAGAAAAATAACTCAGTAAATGATGGGACTACACTTGTGTGGGACCTTTAGCTGTGGAATGAAGTCATGCTGACAGAGACAAGGATCATCTAGGATTAGATGAGCTTGAGACAGGCTGACTAGTCCGGGGCTTCGCAGGGGAAAGGGGCCTCGGCTGGGTTCTGCAGGGTGGTCTGAGCAGCTGGAAAAAAAGGGAGGGTTTCAGGGAGGGGACAGGAGATCGTGTTAAACGCAGCAAAGAGGTCAAGATCGATGAGACTGGGGAAGCCACTGCCATTTGGCAGGGGGACCTTGGGGGAGTGAGACTGCGGGCACTTGAGAGAACACTGGATTGCACAGGGGGAGAGAGAGAGATGGTGCACTCATGGTGGGAGTTTGGCGATCAGGGATGGCACGAGAAAAAACACGAAATGTAGGACGAGCAGGAGACACAGATGTCTGTTAAGACCCTGCACGTGGGAAGCACTGGAGCACAGAGGGAGGACAAGGTAGCAGTCCTCCGGTAGCTGGTGGGCTGGCAGGGGTACGGACAAGTCAATAGGCAAGCATCAAGACAACGGGATAGGTACTAGGAGACAAGAAACTCCGAGGGCTGTGGGAGCCACAGGGGAGGCCCCAGACTCTGGGGTCAGGAGAAGCCTTCCCAAAGGCCTCCCATTCTCCGTCTCACAGAGGAATGAGCGAGAAGAGATGGAGGTGGTCATTTCCCATGGGTTTCCTAGAGGGGCTGGGAGCCCCTTTCTCAGGATGCCTCGACGAAAGAGGTATCCAGGCACCCCTCTGTCTGGAATGCAGTTTTGGCTGGGGACAGAACACACTGACTGATACTCTGTAAAATGCCTTTCAGTGGGAGAGGAGTGCCCTTCCCTGACCCCAAGCCTCTAGCAGGCCAGAGGGAGAGGACCATGTCCCAGGATGCTGACCAATACTCACGCTGAGGTGAAGCACATGCAAGCTGGGCCATTTCCACATGCCTGCGAGTGCCGGGGACGTTCACTAGGACGGCCCCAGAACCACCACAGGGGAGAGGGGCTCTCACACCCTCTCCCTGTCCCCCCGCTTCCCACAAGAGGGCTCTGAATCCAGTACCAGCCCCAGTAAGAACCAGCAAGGGCGGGTGAGGGGCATGCTCATCCAAAGCGCACACAAAAGTCTTAAGAAAACAGCACAAGCTGCTTTCTATTCCATTTTTTTCCAGCTTCCTGTGTAATTTTCTGCTAGGAACATTTTACCCATGGCTTAAATTTCAAACACTTGCTAGATGATAATTTTTTTAAGTACACACAAATATAACAAAGCCAGAAAAAAAAAATCCGAGGTGGATTTAAGTCAAAGCACGGCCCGCATGCCTGTCGAATCACTCAGGCAGTGCAGAGGTGTGCTGACGCCTGCATGGGACCCAGCGCCAGCCCCGGCGAGAGCGGTCCCCGAGGAAGGCCACGTGGACAGACACAGCCAAACACCTCTCCTGCCTAGCTCTGGGCAAAATGAACTGTCTACCTTAACAATGGAGACAATACAGGGTGATGGGCGGGGGGCGGGGGGGGGGCATTGTTATTGATGTCCAGAATCACGCTAAGAAGCTAA